TACCAACTGCAACTGCGATATATTTAAGCTACGGATCTAAAATGACCGACCTGAAGGATACAAGAAAGAAATTTCAGGAGAAACATCATTCCTAATAAATCACAATTGAGTGGTTTTTATTCGTAATGAACACGGATCCATTCATTTCAAAGTTTGTTGGATAGTACTGACGAACACCATGCCGCTAAGGAACATATTGCGTGTCTCGTTCTTGTTGATATGGCTTCAATGTGCAACAGGAATGAATTGTAAGTATTTTCCAGTATAAATTTATACTGTATATCCTTACCGAATATGAAAATGTTTTGTTCAATTTCTTTTTGTATTCAGATTATAATAATTTTTACACATCAAGACGAAGATCAATTCTACATGTATATAAACAATATACATTATTGTTTTATTAAAACCTGACGAAGGCAGAAGCAATTTGTTACTTAATGCTCATATATATATCTATCATATCCATCATTAAAATAGTTGGTGAAACTTCAATTAAGTATTACATGTTATGTAGGCCCATTTTCCAGCATAAGTATAGTAAATTCCGACCCGGGATGCCTTTAAGATGCCCTAAAAACTATTATGAAGACATTCGCTCGACTGCTTTTGTATGGGGATGATGAAGTATATTTATGGAAGCTAGTAAGTCACACTTTTCTGTAAATTTGTCATTAATTTTGCATGCCTAATTTATATCGTCAGCCTAAATCATAATGGATAAAAATCAACGTTATATTATTTTGTTTCAATCATTATACAGTGCTATTTTCCTGTGACTTCGGCATAGGTGAGAGTGAGACGTTCTGTGGCATGGTGCAAGGTGTAGACGATGACTTTGACTGGAAGCTGACCTCATCTTCTGGTTCAGCATACACTGGACCTTCACAGGACCACACAGACATTGTAGGAGGGAAAGGTAATGGCGATGGTCTAAAACATTTACAACAAAGTTTTTAGTAGGAACATATGAATATTGATACTCTCGCTGATATGAGAGAAGATAGGTAGAACAAGAACTTTTCTTCTGCACTTAGGTTGAAGCACAGTATCGACACATCCAAAGTACTTCATCATATTCATATCCCTTATCTGCATATGTTAGGCTAGGTTTAATACGGTATTATAACTACACATTGGCATAGAAGTATGATTTCATCGTACGGGCCCTATTTGGTCAAGTCTAAGCTTTAGTAGGGCTCGCAAATCAAAACAATCATCAGGTATGCTAAAAGCATATAAGTGCTCCGTGTTGTACGTCTTAGTCACACTGCCAAACCGATTCCAAAGCGATCAGTTCTTTGAAATTCGGAGTAATGTTATTGGTTGTTCGGTTTGGCGTTGTTCTGGCGTCGGTCTGTTCGGTTCGACTGGGTCATATGAAATTGCACAAAATAGCTTGCACTAGCCATTTTTCAATATATAAAATGGAGTGTACTTTATAGCTATAATCATTTCTTTGTTACGATAACGTCTAATAAATGATCGTATCAATTATCTTAAATTATACTATTTGTAGTGTTTTCTGTACTTTATATATATATATCTTTGATATGTTTCAAATTCAGTTTATTACATTACTTTATCGTGTTTGTGTTTATAATTTACATAAAGCAGAACATATATAGCTTAGAATAAAATGATTAGCACAAATCATACTTTTCACATTGTTGTAATCTCTCATGGACAGGAAGGTTCTTATGGGCAGACTCAGAGTCAGATAAAAGTCCAAGTCCAAGTCCAGGTCAGAAGGCTATCATAGCAACCCTTCCATTCAATCTGACAGGAAATGAAGGATGGCTAACATTTTGGTATCACTTATATGGGGTAAGAATGAAAACAGTTATAAAATTGTAAAAATCAAGACTTTAATATTAATGATGCTTCGACATTTGCTCTGGTGAAAGTTCCTCAGGGATTTGTTTCCGTCAAGATATATGTTAGAGTTTCGGTTCAGGTGAGGGTTAAGAGTACAATGGTTGCTCCAGAAATTATTGAGAACTTTTTAAGCAGTAAGTGTAAGATATTGACCACTGAGATACGATATGCTCAGAACGGTACTGTTCAGTTTTCCCTCAATAGTTTCGGTTCATTTTTTACCTTCGTTCATGGTAATGTTTAATAACTTATTAATAGATATTTGTTATTGTTAGTTTGTAATGAGTACACACAGCATTGTTTTGGGTAATTCGCACTCTATCTCTCTCTCTCTCTCTCTCTCTTCTTTTCTATGAAATAAAGGATGGAAAACTCGAGATCAGTGTGTGTCAGGATGGAGGGACAAATCTCTCATTCGATGGGAATCAAGAACAAGAGTGGCATGAACAGAACATGACAGTGTCGTGTGGAGATAATCCAGTTCAGGTAATTTTAGTATCCATATATTAACTGGAAAGGAATGTTGGGTAGATTTACATTACATATTGACCACTGTAAAATATTTGAAGTTAAATAGGGACTAGATTTCGGGCCATAATGTGCCGATCCTGATAAGTTCCATGACACCCGTTTTGACACCAGTGTTTATTAATCTTGCACTCTATATGGGAGCAGTTACATAATCTTGAAGCCTTTGGTATATCTTTACTCTGATGAATATAATGTTGCACAAGGAGATTATTTTGTGTAGCATAGAGAGTTTAAATGATACGCCATTAGATACCGAAATTCTCTGACAAAAATTGGATTTTTCTGATAATCAAACTGCCTTCCATTGATGTTTTCGCCCTGACAAAATCTATAAATGTACTGCACCATTTTCGCAAGCCGAATCATATATACAGTAGTTGTACGAGTGCAGTGATATCAAGACGAAAATACCATTTTAGACCTTCTGAATAGAAGTACTACAACCTTTTCGTGCATTTTGCGATTTAACATATAGTTTTAAGCTGAAAAGAGGATACTACGTCTTGATAACTGATTAACATCATTCTAAAAACTGGGACCCGTGAAGCCGGAAAGGAACATCTTTTATTTTATTGTGACAAACGTTGCAAAAATCTGCATAACCAATTTAATATGGTATCCATTCATAGATTACTTTCACGTCAACTATAAGTTCATCAGTGAGTGATGTGGGTGTTGATGATCTATTTCTCTACCACCTTCTGCCAAGTAAGTATTTGATCTCAATCTATGATTACATTATTTTATTCGATTTAAAAGTATATATATATTTCAACAAAAGGTAACGCAATTTTCTTGGAAATCTACATACTATTAGTGAAAATGTAATTTTCGACCAACAAAATGCATTTTAATGATAATAATAGTACCAAATCTGGATTTCTTGAGCGCTTTAAAAATCCTATTATTATCCTGATCATTGGGTTAATTCACTCACACAGTGTGCGCAATTTCCACCTCCTGGGGCGTACTCCTACCACTATTGTCATCTTAAGGGCACATGGTAATTTCAATCATCCCATCAGGTTCCCATGTATCTCTTAGGTATGGAGTGAAAAATGTAAATCAATGTCTTTCCAAACACCGTTTCGAGAATCAAACCCACGACCTTTGTATTTCCCGTCAATGGTTTAGACCACTCGACTACGACATCTCTACAATACGCATTTAATACAAAGATATATTTTGTTTTAAAGGAAATCACGAAATGTCCCTTTCGCAGTGTCGCATGACTTTAATTTTTTCACACTTATTCTAATATCTTACGAATGATTTTCATTTTGTGATAACGGATTGAATGATTGATTGATTGATTGATTGATTTTTTTTTCTCTCCATTCCTTTCTCTTTTTTGTTTTTGTTTTTGTCTGTCTTTCTTCCTTTGCTTATTTTTGTAATTTATCTAAGTATTTATTTATACATTCATTCGTTTAATAAGGGCATACTAATGACGTTCCTAGCCCTTTACAATATCTTATCTTTGGCTATATTTAATTTCATTAATTTCCCACAATATTGCAGCTACTACAGACAGGGTAACTACTGCCATGACAGAGAGTCCTGTGACTACTAACGATCCCGCCACATCTCCTGGACTCGCTAGTAGTGTCACGACGATTGCTGGTGTTATTGATAACATGTTATCACGTTCAGTTACAGATGAGACCCATCAGTCATCGACGTCTATTTCTCCTCTTTCAAGTAAAGGTTAGATTTTCAATACCATCTAGATTATTTATTTTAATTAATTTTGTATTAATTTTCCATTTAAAGTTATGCATGAAATACAGATTCAGAAGGTTCAATGATACATAAAACACATGGGCATAAAGTCAAATGAATTAAAGCAAAGCGTAAGAAAGAAATGAAGAGAAATTAGAAGCACCTTTGAATGCTTGTTTATCAAAGTGTGTTAGAATCTGGTGAATATTTGTATGTTGCATCGATCTCTTGAATATTGATTGATGTGAGAGATGCATTAGATACTGTAATCTCGTTTCGATCAGTATAAATTGTTTATTAACCCGTTGACTACTGAATTATCGCGATCCCATAGGCTCAAAACAAGAACTACCCAGCTCAAGTAGGCAATGGGTTATTACGGGGATTGCTCTCTATTCCGCTCTGAAAACGTGTTACCATCCTTAAACGAATCTGGAAATAATGTTTCTCGATATCCATGTGATATTCCTCTCTTGAAACAAAAGTGTTAGTATTGATCTCCAGCTGGACTTCTCTAATACAGAGAGCTTCATATTTATTTCCTCAATTCGTGAAGTGTAATAGAATGTATAGAAGAAACTATCATTTTAGAGTCGACAGGCTCATATTACCTTCTTTATAGAAAGATACTCGCACGTGTGTGTATAGTGGAACATTCTCGATATTTAACAGCAATTTATTTCATGCATAGCTTTCATATTTTCCAAATGGGAATGGTGATAGCGGGCATTACAACAGTGAATGGGAATGAATTGAAGGCTATTATAACATTGTATAAATAACATTGTATATATATTAAAAAATAAATCAAATCATTTGTGATATATTTAGCCACAAGTAACTGTTGTATTTTTTCTTGCAGAATCGAGCCCTGCATTGCCGACTTCTTTGAGTGTTGTTGCTGTATTTTTCGTAGCTGCAATAATAATGGTTATCTGCTTTATCAAAAAAAGGTTCGTTCATAATTGATAAAATGGTGTTCTGTGTAATGTGCATAAAGTCATTTTTTCGTGTAAAATTGAATTGGTTGAGTGGTGCAGTATTCCAGCTTTAAAGGTTAAAGTTTTAGGCAAACATTATTTACGAGTAGTGCGTTCAAAAAGAAATTTTTACTTTGTATTTTGTGAACCAAAAATTCATAAAAACGAATATGGACTAGATGAAGTAAACGTTAACAAGTTTCATTCCGGTCTCTTGAAATACTGCTTAATCTCTTTGCCGAGTGGCTGGTCATAGAGGAATGTAAATTAAATCTCCAAAGTCATATTTTTGACGATATCATGTTTAATCTCACCAACAAAATAAAGTATGCTAAATAATGCTGTTTTATATGCTCATGAAGTTTGAACAAATCGAATTCCATCACAAATGTTTTTTATCTTTTATTCTCCCATTAGGCACACCCACTTAATCCTTACAACATAAAATCCACTTCTTTCATAAAAGTGTGAAATTCTGAAAAATTGCTGAAAATGCGAATTTAAGGAAATTTAAGGTTATTCGAACATTATCAATAATGGAGACATTCATTTGAACCAAATTTCTTTTAAACGCTGTGTCCAATTAATTTTATTCTCTTGAATAATCAGAAATGTTTAGAGCTATATATATCAGTTAATTGTATTATAACAATTCCTCAATTGTATTTCGTTAATGCAGACGTCAACAGCCAGAAAAGCCTATAGCTATGGAATCCGTCCACAAGTACGACAACCATGCCTACAGCTCAAACATGAATGACGCACTTGACAATACAAGAGATACTCGAAGAAATACCAATAGTGCTTTCGACAGCAGTACGTGGCGGTCGGCAGCTTCAACCATGAACGGAACAGGGGTGAACGACACTCTGGGTGGAAGCCAGCCACCAAATCGTTCGAGTCAAGCGTCCAGTGCTTCCGGGTCCGGAGTTCAAGGGGAAGATTCAGAGGGCAGACATTATTTTGTTCTGAACCCTGGGCGCGCCTCTATGCTGGTGGAGAATGGGGAAGAGGAGGCGAGGAACCCGTATGATCCTGTAGCGCTATATGACAACAAGCCAGAGCGCTACACATACATTGAAAATGATGGCTCTTCAATTGCCATGACAACAGGCGATGCTGGGGAAGTAGGGATGGAAGACAATGGTTATGACCCAGTAACCATAAAAGACGATGCCACTGGTGGTTACCAATACGTGGATGACACTGGGACGACCGTTGCTAATGGTGCTACTAATCATGGTGATCTTCCAAGCCCCTACGAACCTGTTGCGATCGGGGAGGCATCATCGAAATCGAATAATTCTAACGCGAGCGAGAGAAAAGTACCCATACCAGCGGCAAGGAAAAACATGGCACCAAAACCTAAGGAGAGGATGGTCGACAATGTTTTGTACAAGCCAATGAACGGCGAAAAGATGATAGACAATGTACTTTATAACCCTATTTAAGATAATCAATTAAAACAAATTGAGCTTAGACATTATTTTTGAAGGGAAGAGAAGCTTTGAATATGTCAAAACGTTTTGAATATTCATATTATTTTCAGTGTGACATGAGATCGCCATAGAGCGATACACTCACAGATTTGAGGCAGTTGTTTTGGTAACCAGATTCTGTACGAATATATGATAATTGTTTATGATAATGATTATATGATAATGATAATGAATATATGATAATGATTTATTTTGTCAGCTAGCTGGAATCTTACGCAGAGCATGCCAGGGAGAGTGAGTTAGTACTTCTGTGAAGTAAGAACACGAAAAATAATCTCGCGAGCAGTTTCGAATCCGTACTGTATTCCTAAGAGAAAACATGTTCAGATATTAAATGAAATATGTAGTTTATATTGCAATTAGCATGCATTGCAAAAGGTGATTCGAAAATAGAAAGAAATAGTTAACCTCTTTGCAATCGTTAATACAAATAACCAAGATTATTCATGCACAATTGTGAAACTAAATCCTGCCTTTTTGCGATATGATTATAGCGCCAGCTACGACAAATCAGATCGTTGCAATAGACCGATTTACCTACCTACATGTATTCAAATTTATCGCTCTTTCGTCCATGGGGACCTAATGACGTTCCGGTCAGAATACATTACTTGTCGCTATGTCGGGCAAGCCTCGGGCAAGCTCACAGGTTGTCAAGAACAAACTTTGTAATAAAGTATGCATAAAATCGATCTACGAATGAAAGGCATTCGTAAATCATGCTTTTGATCTATCAGACAAATGGATGGATTATACGGGCTAGTTTCTACGTTGTATGCATTATTTGATAGCAGGGTTTAATGGAAATATTCTTTCAAAATACGTTGATAAGAGTTATAAGCAAAATTTTCTCTTCCTTTTTATCTCATCCTATCTTCATGTATGTTTTTTCCATTTCATGTAGACTGTATATCCTTGCGCATAGTTTGTATGTCTACCCAATAGACTAAAAAGTGTATTTTATATTTTTTGAAAATGGCAAAATTTAATTTTAAAAGTAGATGCTGGCATCTCTGTATATAAAAAGTTTTATAATTTACAGGGTATAGAAAACTATTTATCGCAATGCATTATTCTAAAATTTGTGTAATCTATGTTCATGCCTACAATAACGAGAAATATATGCAAGTTAAGGCATTGTTATTTTATTAGTAGGTCAACAGGTATTCTCGAGCAAACGCTTAATAAGATAATTCAAGTTCTTAAACTTTCCATTTGATCTAAGAAACACATTACACTATTACCATGACAACCATTATATGGGGAAACTTCCAAGTTCAAGTAATCTAACGTTTCTTTCTTATTCTAGTAGGCAATCAATAATACGTGTTATGTCTCTTTTGTATTCACTTGATTTAGTGAATCCATTTTGGTACGAAACTATGTACATGTACAGGTATCAAAATGACCTACAACTTCATTTTTTTAGACGAAAATTTCACTTAATGTTTACTTACCTGTTCATCTCGATGTAATAAACAGTTTGCTTAGATATTTCTTAATAGTCACTTCCCCCACCCCTTTTAAAGGAAAAAATGAGTTTAAAAATACGTTTATGTGTAAAACATGGACACCGTTAAGTGCCATGTTTTAGTGTAAATGCTTATGCCTCGCAGAGATCATGGTTTGTGTAGACTAAAAAATCATAGAACGCAATATCTTATTTTCCTGAATATAGACAACGTATTTCTAAATGTACTCAGCCCTTCTCAGCTCAAAATAAAGAACAGTTGCATATGCAAATAAGTAGTGAGTTGATGAGTTTTATTTTGACTAATAGTTATCATATATTTTGTTTCTAAGATGTAGGCCTATTTGACTTTTGAGTGGTGATTGAAAGTTTTTAAAGTTAAACGCACTCAAGGTAAGGTTGACTATTTGAAATTAGATGCTGAAGAGTCTGCAAATGTTATGAAAAGCAGAATCATTAGAAATGACAATATTGGCATTTTTTTTTCTTCAAAAAACACGAATTCGTTACTTTTTTGTCATTCCTAAGATACTGAACATGATAAAATGTTATCAATATTGGAAGGGGGTAATATAAAACTGATCAAAGGAGGTGGCATTTTTTCCAGGAGTGACTTTGTTTATCCTTACTTACTCTGTATTATGATAAATTAATGCGTTCATGGAAATTATGTATTTCCTATGACTTTATCTATCATCTGGAAGCCACCTGGCACCGGTTTATTGAGAGAGGGACAAAATAGAGAGAGAGAGAGAGAGAGGGGGAGAGAGAGAGAGAGAGAGAGAGAGGAAAAAAACGAGTTTATCAAGTTTATTCCCCTTTTGATATGATAGTATATAGCTAATGAGACAGGCCACCTTGATATTAGCGAGCCGTGACTAGGTCAAATTTTTGACCATAGTATTATGACTAATATGATTGCATCCGGGACATTGAACTTCACGGGTCACTGACCTTAATGTATTTGACCTATTGGGCTCTTTCTGCATTTTGTAGTAGCGGCTTTAGATGGGACTGGGAGCCTGAGCCCCCTCCGGGCCAAACACAAGTCATCAATCTAGGCATATTGTATTATTATTATTATAGCCCTTTCCGGTTTCTAATTGTAAAATGAAATAAAACAAAAAAATAAAACTACTGTATGTAGGAAGGAGACTAAATAGTCATGTCGCCCTCAATAAACCTAGGAGTACCCAAAACATAGTATCTCCTTCACTATACAAATGAGATACAATGTTGAGAACGCGCACGCCCATTGAATAAGTGGGAATCATTAGGCTGCAATCATTATTATTAAGCCCTTCAACAAACTGGAGGACAGCAGATTTCCAAATGCATAAACAAGGATTTAATCAAAAGAAGACAAAAGGAGATAAAGAGATCAAGACGGAAGCGAGCAGAGAAAGAAAGAAAGAAAGAAAATGAGAAAGGAATGGCAGAAAGAAGGATATTCAAGAAAATCGTAGAGAGGGCAGTTAGACAAGCAGGCAGTTTGGGGACAAAAGATAGAAATATAGACAGGAAGGGGGTATGGAAACATCATCATATTATCAACTGAATTGCACTAATCAAACGACGCTCAATATTTTACTAAGATTTTTGTCCTTGCTGGATGTTTTTAAAAATCAAAGTAAATCAAAGGTGTTTAAAAAAAGAAGTGACATCTGATTCGCGAATCCCCCCCCCCCCCTTCTCCCTCTCGCTCTCTCTCTCTCTCTCTCTCTCTCTCTCTTTCTCTGTCTTTTTGTTGTTGATAATGATCATAATAATAATCTAGATTTATATAGCGCTTAATACGCAATACCGTCTCTAAACGCTTCACGTATATTGTTACCCCAGTCATCAAAATTTGTTATGCACAATGTGCACCATCTCCGCTCCCTGGTGCGTTTTTCATCATTATGGTCACCGTGAGCGAATATGGCAATTACTTACACAAAGGCTTAGGTTTTACATCAGGTTTACATCATTCACATTGCCTATTTCCACATAAACTATATAATACAGCAGAATGTACTAATACTATTTTGTTTCCTTGTTTCGCTTTGATAATACGACGTCATCAGACTTCGTGTGATGTCATTGCAGTCTAGAATTGGTTTCGAAGTTAGCAACGATCGTGTGAATTTAGAGAATCAAATTCTGGTTGTTGTATAAAAGTATTTCAATGCATTTTGTGGAGTTAATGGCGCCCTAGTAGCCACGTTGATACTGAATGTTATTATGTAACAATAATGTCTTGGAAATCGAACAGCATTTCCATAGCAACATCACTCCTCCCACATTGATTTCCGCCCACCTCCACTTCCACTCGTTTTATGTATGTAACGAACATTCGAAATAGTGGGAAACCATGGTAACCATGGCCATTACGAGACACAACTGCTCTGGCGGCAAATGTTCGGCGTTTAATTTGCTAGGGTTACCAAATACGTATCTTTAACTGCGAATTAGATAATATACCTGACCCTAACCCTAAACTATTTTTAAAAAGTAGCCTTAAACCTAGTAAAATCCCAACCTTTGCTCGACATCTTATTTTACGAAATAAAGCCCGGAGGAAAATGTTGCAGGAGTAAAAATTGGCCGGATTATCAAATGGGTGTATATATGATTACAATAGGATTCCCTCTCAGCGCCAATTATTGAAAGACCGATCTTTTACTTAATTTAAACAAGCTTTAATTGTGTATGAATCGCATAATGTTAAGCGTTTAATAATGTCAAAAGACCACCAAACACGTCACACTCTATTTGTGACGTCATATTAAAACGAATATTTGTTGGGGTAAGTTACCCAGATATTAGAATGTATGTTATTTTCCTATTGTAAATATAAAGCATTAGCTACGAATTGGCGGCATGTCCAGTAGGGCCACTTCTATAATGAACACCTTTTAAGCAAAATTTGATAATTATGACACCAATACTGATAATAACTATGAACCTAAAGAATAACAAAAGTAATAATGACATATTAATGACAATAATAATTTAGATTATAAAGGAAATGAAAAGAAAATGAACTCATAACAATATTTGTGTAGCATATATAAACACTTGGACTGATAACAAATTCCTTTCTTTTTCGAAACATCGTGAAATAAACAATGAAATGAAAATGATATGAATGACAATGATACGGTTAGATAATAAAGTTAATACAAACAAATTATACTCATAACAATATTTGTGTAGCATAGATAAAACACTTAGAGTGATAAAACGTCCTGTCTTTTGCAAAACATCCTGAGATAAATAATGTATAATTTCCAGAATGGCAATCATGATATATGCTTAGAAACGTAAACTAATACTATGCGACATAATGTCTGGCATATCTTTCAAATTGACATCATCTTGTCTCCGTTATGACGTGATTTGATATGTTGACTTAGACTTGTGCCTGTTATCCCGTCACCGAATACTTTCGATTACCAATCCTTGGATCCTTGGATATGGAAATTCCCTCCCCCCCCCCCCCCCCCCCATGAAAAAAATATTGTGAAAACGTTTATGAAATAAAGTTCAGCTCTGGTCATGCGAATCAACTGTGAAAGATATTGTATACAAGCAGTTTTGGGAAGGGATAATTTTTTAGGTTACACAAATTGGTATATACTGGGAGGCTTTGCAATCACCAAACTTGAAGGAATAGTCTCAGTTTGCTGAAAGTTACATGCATTGCTCACATAAATGTGTATATGGATTACGCGTTCGTTTGGCATGTATGTCGGTTCTAGATTTTACAGATATTTAAAGTTGAATAGGAAGGTATTTAGGAGCAATCATTTGGCGATATTTTTGCCATTATGTTCATCTAAACTGCCATAAACAAACAAGTAAGCTAATAAACTATTTTTCACCATAACCATTACTCAAACTTCTATTTAAAGGCACAGAAAATAGAAGCTTCATCCATCTAGCTGTCCAAATATATGCCCCCAACATGCCCAAAGACACCTGAAATTTCCCTTTTTTCACCAGCTTGCTTGCTTGTCAGAGGTTTTATTTAGATATAAAATATTATAATTTTGACACGATTTGCGTTGATCTACTTACAATGCATAATGCCGATATTTTCAACATTCAAGAAGATGAAGTTTTATCATTGACTCTTGATAAATCAGAGGCTAAAATCTGCCCGTTAATTCGGGTTTTAGGCTTGAACCAAACTCACGGCGCTGTCACAAATACCATGAATATCTACCATCGAGTTATCATGGATACCGCCTTAAAATGCCTAAAACCATGCCAAACTAACACATAACTTTTCGGACCATAGGGCGAACATAACTGAATTGAAGAAGAAAGAAATATCCCATTGACGTCATTTTCACATCTGGAAATGAAATACAAACAGAGTGGTCGTCACATTGTATCACTTTACTTCAACACGTTACCTGGATACGAAATCAATCGACAGGTCCAATGTCAAACACAAGTATTTTGTCACGTTTCTTATTTCCTTATAACTACCTCATTCACACCGACTAACCGATTGTGCACCGTTTCTAACACGACGGATTATTGACCATTCGCGGCAATGTATGCTGGTTCGTGCTGTTTTGGGGCTACTCACAGTTACATAAAGTTGTGAGCTGTGCTGAACTATGTCCGCCCGTAGCTGTGTCAGGGCATGGACCTACTACGTAGTAGATCCATGGTCAGGGGCAGCTACAGTATATGGTATATTGGACTAATGGGTGTGATTGGGGTCTCATACCTCAGTCACACTGCTGAACCCATTCAGTGTTGTTGTTGTTTTTCGGACTGTATTCGGCCAGGTGTCGGTCCCCTTGGTGTGACTATAAGGTTACAGCTAATATCAGTCGTATTGCCAAACCGATGTCAAACACACTCCTTACCGACCAACTTTGGGCCATACGATGGTAGTTTTGTTTGAAAAATTACCCGGTGTCGGTGGAGTTGGTTTAACCAGGCTTTAACACCATATGATGTCCATTTTCAAACACGAACCGTACTAGAAAGTTAGAGTATCTAACCTCCATTTACCATGTCTACTCTCTCTCTCTCTCTCTCTCTCTCTCTCTCTCTCTCTCTCTCTTTGCAAGTGCAGTCAGTCGGTATATTTATTTTGTAATAATACAAGGTGAACTGTCTATAATCAGAAATACCTTTCTGTTTCGCTTCTCACTGAATATTTATTAAATTGTATAATGCTACTCATTACAGAAGCCTACTCGTGCACTAGATTTACAAGCCTGTATGATAGCATTTGTAGATAATGTGGAAGTAATCATCTTCAAACTTAAAACTTCAATGTCAAACGCCAAGGGTTAATGATATCGATGTATGTTCAGTGGTATTCGGACGAGTATTGGTTGTGTTTTGGTGTTTGTTTTTTAAAGGGACAGTTTTTAAAAACCCGTTCCTCGACTGAAAACATATACCATTAGTGTTTCAAAAATGTTATCATGTTGAAAGGAAGTATTACATTTCAGAATGAAAAACATAATTTCACATCCGTGATCGTTATACAATGAGGGGAATCATTAATTGCACATAACTCAGTTTTTCCTCTGTGTATCGGCCTATGTAGAGCGAGTTGGAGAAAAAAAACACTAGACGATTATCCAGGTATATATGCGATACCATAAGCGTGACTTAAGAATATCTTGTATAGACCATTGTTCAAACTATGTTCTGGAAAAACAAATCAATTAATCTAACCTTCATCCTTTCAAAATAAATGTTTTAACATCTTGTACAAAGTGGCAAATCAGCCTTGGAAAATATACATATCAAACTTTATTTCTTTTTCCTATAAAAATGTAAAGGGAAACAAATTCGGAAATATAGCCAGGGGCGAGGCAACCGTACAAGAAATTTAGTTTTGATTCCGTCATTATGAAGGATGATTTTGTTTTTTATTTGAACACGGACAAGAAATTGGATACCTAAGAGCCATTGACCGATACATTTCCGCAAAAACGCGAAGATTCGTGGACTAAATATTTCAACTAGAGTTCCTTTTCGCTCTTTTTTTTCTTTTACTCTGTCTCTTATTCTATACTCTCTCTCTCTCTCTCTCTCTCTCTCTCTCTCACTCTCTCTCTCTCTCTCTCTCTCTCTTTCTCTCTCTCTCTCTCACTCTCTTTCTCTCCCCTCTCACTCTGTCACTCTGTCTGTATCTCACTCAGTCTCTCCGTCTCTCCGTATCTCACTTCCCACCCCAGTCTTCCTTTGCCCTTTCTCTCTCTCTCTCCCTCTCTCTCTCTCTCTCTCTCTCTCCCCTTCTCACTCTCTCTCTCTCTCTCCGTCTCTCTCTCTCTCTCCTTCTCCCCCTCTCTCTCTCTCTCTCTCCTTCTCCCCCTCTCTCTCTCTCTCTCTCTCTCTCTCTCTGTTTCTCTGTGTCTTTCTGAAAGGATACCCAATAATAAAACATAAATATTGCTAATAAAAATAACTTTAATTTTCGTAAGGACTGCTTCAGACACGTATTGCAATCAATCTCTAAAGAGGGATTTTCCCTCACACTTATGTACAATTTCTTCACTTAGTTTCACAATTTGTTATTTCCTGATTTGTTCCGAGTCATTTCTGTAACGGCTAAATGCGTTGATATGATAAAATCTTGTTTTAGAAATATCTCTATCTTCCATTTGAATTCAACTTTCTAGAGTCAAGTTGATTTGATTTGATTTGATTTGATTTATTGGTTTCTGCATCTTTTTTCTTTTATTCATCATACATTTTCATGAACATAATATGGTTTGATATAATTTTATACAGATAATAAACGAATTTAAACAAATATATTGAATGCATAATTAACATAATCAGATGCAGGAGGGCTACAGAAATAAGCAAAGTAGCTTGACGTGCCCGCATCCCTCAACTTAGATACAACAATAACAAATACAAATAGAAAAGAGTGACTTGCAGAGAAGAAAAGGAAAGGGGAGATGATTTCACAGTTAGCACGATGGTTATGAATATGATATTAAATTGTAGGCCCATGTATGGCCCGGTAGATTTTCATCTAATATATGCATTTTCAGAGCACATAAAGTTGTCTTTGGTCTTTGAGATAGAAACCAAACGTGTTATACTATAACATTCTAGCCATTCATAAAATGACAAAAATATTCGAAAAGAACTGAAATAAATCGTAAACCCTAGATCCCTTCTGCGAACTCACTCCGTTTTCGAAAATATGAGCGCTCTTTCGGAATTGGGTGCCCTACTAAAATTTGTCAAAATATGATTCTTCAAAATATTTTATACTAATAAGAGTTACGAAGTCCGCACAGAAAACTTTGCAATATCAAACTCACAAAAGTGTTCGAGGAAAGGAGGGTTGTCAACTTTCTTTTATTTTTCGACTAACTAATCAACTTGTAAAGGACATGAATAAGAAGAATGAAATTGGAAAAGGGATAAGTACAAAGATATTAGCAGTCTTTAGGAGTCTTTCTCCTCTCAAGCCAAATAGAGTACCGAAGCTGTGACGTCATAAAAATCTATTTTTAGAATTTCTCAATTTTTTCTTCATTTTCCGAAAGAGCATCGAAAATAATGTCCAAATGTCGAAAACCAATTGAATATGTTAAGTATTGGCTGAGATATGACCATCTGAATAAATATATGTCCTATGGGAACTCAGTGTTATATGCTCTGGCTCCTAGTGGTTAGGAGCCAGAGCATATAACACTGAGCTCCTATGGAGAGTATATTTATTCAGATGCTCATATCTCAGACAATACTTAACATATTCAATTGGCTTTCAACATTTGGACATTATTTTTGATGCTCTTACGGAAAATGAAGACAAAATTGAGAAATTCAAAAATTAGATTTTTGATGACGTCACACTTCACCACTCTATAAAACAAGCCGAATCTAGCTGAACACTGCCGATACCGGATGCAGGGGTAATCCTCAGACCGGGGATCTCTATTCGCACCTTGTCATTAAGACAACGTATGGTAGTGAGAACTTCTTGAGGGAGCTCCTTGGTGCGGTTTGGGAGGAAAACGAAAGATTTGGACAGCGAGAGAGAAAGAGAGACAGAAAGGGGAGATAGAGTGGGGGAGGTAAGAGACAGTAAGAAACAGAGAGTAAGAGACAGATATATAGATGGAGGGGATAGAGAGAGAGAGAGAGAGAGAGAGAGAGTGAGAGAGAGATAATGAGACAGAGAGAGAGAGAGAGAAAATGGAGATGGACAAAGAGAAAGTGAGAGAGAGAAAGAGAAATGGATAGAGGGAGAGAGAGAGAGAGAGTGAGAGAGAAGGGTGTTAGGGGCTCCGAAATTCTTTTAACAAGTTACATTTGTATTGAGAAAAAAAAAATTTGACTTGATTTGTTCGAAGATTTGTATCAAAGTTCACCAATAGTATATTATAATTGAATTTCTTTTCCATCATAATATGCTCCATTTGTATTGTTAGCTTCAAAATGAAAAGAAAAATCCCAAAACTTTCTTTAAATGTAATATGTGAATATATTCTTAAAAAATAGATAATGAAAATGGAACTGGCCATTATTAAAACATGTTAAAGCAAATTGAAGAAATTCCCTAAATATCAAGATTATTGTGCTATTTCGTGTTTATTTTACAAGCAGGTTAGGATACAGATAAAGGAATTAGTTTAAACCCAAAATACATTACCAGAGCTATGAAAAATTATGTATACAACCAAAATTGAGCAAAATGTAGGATTAAACCCAAATATAAAGCAGAAAGAGAAATCGAAATGCGTGGGGACCGATAACTTTTTCATTTTCGAAATAGGTTTTATTGATTTTAGCGAATTATCAAGTCACCGTGACAACTATCTATCAACCCCCATTTGTATACATAAGAAAAGGGTTTTATCGAACACTTTATTCAGGAAAAGATAATTTACAATATTTACTATATTTAGTCATGCAAGTTTATTCTGTTTTATTAGTTTATTGTTTATAATTTGTTTTTATTTTCACTAATTTGGCCTCCAATGTGAGCCAATTATTGTTAGTATTTGGACTTTTTATTTGGTATATTTTTAATAAAACCGAAATTGAATTGAATTGAATGTTTATCTTCAAAATACATTTTCCCCACAAAGTCAAACCCATTCATATTGAGAACATGAGTGAAGATATGCTTTTGTTCATTCATTGTTTAAAGGTTTAAATCTTGTCAATCAAACGGGGTACTGAAAAGATTTAAGCCGGGCATTGCCGCTTATCATTTATGTGGTTACACATTTATGATTAAATGATTTTCTTACAAATTTCAGTAATTATACAAAAATAGATATTAGAAAAATGAACAATGTATATATAGATCCGGGGCCGATCAAATGAAAAGGCATTGTCATATTTAAAGTTCATGGGAAAACGCAAGAGTATTAAAATACCTATGTTATCATACAGTCGGTTAATGACCTCGATGAAGGCTGATGACCACTACTGATTTGTCATTTCTAAATGATCTTTTTTGTGAGTATGTATATCCAATTGTCCAATTTGTAGAGTTTCTACCGTTGAGAGGGTATATGCATCAATGCAGTTACATGCAGAGCGGAAACTGCTGTTTCACTATACAAGGTTGTTTATTGTTCAATACTATGGTCAACTTATGTATATGGATTTTCCTTAAATTCTCTACTAAAATTGAGATTAGTTTAATAACTTAAGGCAGACATGGAGCCTAAGGTTTTCTTATCCTCGGATGTTGGGATGGAGAAGAAAAAAAAGTTGCTTTAGGAACAAGCAAAACCGAGTGATAACATTATTTTGTTCCTCTATTATTATAATAGTATTCTATTCTTTTCCTCTGCTTGGGAAGTAGAAATATACAATTGATTTTTGTTATCTGGTAGGCCTATTAGATAATTGTCCTGTAAATGAAATGAAGGAAAATAAACTACGATTTCCTTAAAAATTGTAATTTTATATGTCTCATTCGACAAACTTTGGGTAGGCCTAAGCTTAAGACATTAGATTACAATGTTCATTCAGGGCGTCCCAATATATTGAAGGAATAGTACACGAATTGTTGCCTGGGAAGAATCAAAGTTTGCCTAGAAAGGTAAAAATCAAAGTAAACAATAAAAATAATGCATTTATACTTGTTTTGTTACCCCCCCCCCCCCCATGGTACAGGCTCTCTCGAATGCCACAAATATGTGGGCGCGCATGCGCACACTCCACACAGCTAAACCCACCGACTTCCCAAACCGCACATGCCTCACACAATACCAAAACAAACGTCATAGAATGTTTGACGAGTCAGTTTAACGCAGGCGGAGGTGGCTTTGACTATTTAAAAGCACTCAGCTGGGACCAAGCGTTAAGATCAATTGAATTCTCTCTCCGGGACTAAATATTTGTCGGTTATTGTTAACTACCGTAATGATATCAGTCACTCTTTCATGATTTTCGAGTGATTCATTGTGTTGTCCACCACCAGAAAAATAGTTATTGCTGAGAGGGCAAGGATTCTGCCTCTTTTCTTTCGTGTTCTCATGGTCCTCGACTTTTATGAGTTTCAACAAGAGAGAAAAGACAACCTTCTCCAAGGATAACACGGATTATTTATCTCCAAAATATCTGCAACCTGTATTGAGCGGATCCTTTTCATATCTTTGGAATATAATTGGAGATGAGTGAATAACCAACAGAGAAGGTGTTCGTTTTGGAAATCATATCACGTCTGCTCTTTTTGAAGATACTTCTTCTCATCGACCCCGTGGACTGTTAATACGCATCCTAAAGTAAAATATTTAATTTCAAGGACTGGAGCACTGTTTGGGAGCTTAGTGTGGACTAATGAACTTCTATGTAAACGTCTTCAACGAAAATCATGATATGTTCAAGAGTGTTGGTTGTTTCTTGTTTGCTGTCGGTAGTACGTTTCGGATCAACTCAAGAAGATAAAAGTAAGTATATAATTGTCGTTTATTCATGTTTCATATTGGTGCTGGACTGGTATTGTTTCGGTATTTTTCATATATGAAAAGTGTAGCGCAACCTAGATTTATATCATCCCCTCCCCCTCATTTATTGAGAATTTAATCGAATTCATTATAGAAATTCAGTTTTGCATGATGATGACTGTATACCTCTAAAAGAAAATGTTTAATGTGTCGTATCTTCGCCACGCTGGCCACTCTTTGTATTATACATGTATTTGGGTTTAACGTAAATATAGTTATTAGTGTGCAAGTATTTTTGGTCTTGTCATGGTACAGGTAGGTTCCTTGTTTTTGTTTTGTTTCTTATTGTATAATTAAATGATTTGCTATTATGATATAAACATAGTCTGATATTGAATTTGTATATCACTTTTTGTAATAAGTTTCTCATAGTGGCACATATTTCTTAAATGTTAGTTCTAATTTTCCATTTTTAAATCTGACTTGATATTCTGAAATTAAAATATTCTTGTTGGTGTTACTGGAATACAGTATGATGCGCCAAAGTCACTTTCAGCTTACACGAAAACGTTTCATAATAGTTTTGTTTGTAGGCCGTCTGTTGTAACCTTAATGACATCCGCACTCTCAAAGTACTTATCACAATTATTAATATCAGTAGTTTTCAATAACTTTGGGACATAATTCAATATTTCAACAGATTATTTCAATGAAATCAACGTCCCACTCAAATGAAAGTAATTTGTGGACTCCATTGGTCTAGCAAAGCTCATGATACTGATGATCAAAATGAAATTCTTAACTCATAGAATTTTACTCCAAAGAACCATGCGTGTTTTCTTTCAGTTTATCCATCTGAAATTACATTATTTTTAATGCACAAGATTGGTGACAGAGATTTAAAAAAAAAATTATCCACTGGTTTCCTTATTATCCAGCCTTGTATATTTGCCATAACGTCAAACAAAAGGGTGCTGTAACTAGATTTAAAACAATTCTGCAAACACCGCCTGATTAGCGTTTCAAG